GTTTTTTGTTTTTATTTTGCTGAAAAAATGGATAATTTTCACTACGATCCTGTGGAGGATGTAAATTTGTTTGGAAATTTACTGAATTAGGTGGTGCCATTGAGTTATCCCAGTTTCGAGATCTTGTACAATTACTAAAATTTTTTCGTGGTTGATAATTTGTTTTTGATGGATGTGTGTAATTATAATTATGGTCTGCAAAATTGTTTCTAGTGAACGTTTTGCGTGTTTCTGGCGGTATTGTCATGGGTCTGTATGTTTGGTAATCCATGTGTGAATATTTTGGGGCAACCGAAGGTTTAACGGTTGATTGTAAGGTTACCTGTGTTTGTGAAGGGTTTGTATTTCTTGGTGTTGTTAAATTTAGACGTATTGGTGAAATACTTTGTTGTGTAGTTGTTGTGTATACTATTTCTTCATTTATGAAGTGTGATGGTGTCTGGATATCTTGTTGAGTAAGATTCCTAGTTCCACTGAGGTTTTCATTGTGTATGACTGAAGAGTTTAAACTATTATTTTTTATGTCGGGTAAAAATGTATTATAGTTTAATGGTGTTGCATCAATGGTTAATGGTGTTACTTTTACATAATCTCTTACATAAGATATTGTACTTATTGCTTGACTGGAGATTGATTGTGGAATATTTATGAATGCATGATGAGACCATTCGGGGTCCCAAACATAGTCTGATTGTTCTGTGATGGCAGTATCATCGTTTGAATTTTGAGGTCTAAAATTTTTTCTTGCATGTGAAATTAAATCTATATTATGTGTGAAATAATCTATTATAAACCATGCCAAAATTTTTTGTAAGTCGTGTTTTGTATGTTGTGAAACTTCATCTTTCGTGAAATTTTCTTTAATGATATTTAGAAAACTAGAGAGTAGTGTGATTTCATGTCGTACTCTTATATGTTTCGATGTTTCTGTCGGTGAGACATTTGGGAGTGGGATTTCGTTTTCTAATATCGAGATATAACTGTATATTATTGCAAAAACTTCATTGGTGAATATGGAGTTTGCTCTTTGTGAGTTATGATATTGTATGCTTTTTATATATTCGGAGAATACTTTTGAAAATTCTAAATCAAGGTCGTCTGTTTGAATTATATATTTACTGTGATTCTGGTTTGGTGAGCTGAATTCTATGGAGTAGATTCCGTATTGTTGTGTTAGGTTACATATATCTTTTAGATAGTGATCGATAATTTGTCTTTTGATTTTTACATCTGGGAACTCTGTTTTACATGGACTGATTCCGGGTTCAAATAAATTTAAAAGTAAATTTTTGCAAAATATATGCTGTCCTCTATCAGTGGTTGCATCTACTATAAAGGGGAAGATATCATCATCATCTGGACTTTCTTCACCTGGGGTGTGCGTTGAGCTCATTTTTTCGTTCGATGACTGTTAATATGTAATTATCAATGTGTCTAATTGGTTGATTCCAATTGTATAAATATACTGGTTTGTGTTTATACTGCTTTTTTATTCTTCTTTTTCCTCTTTTTGATGAATTTGAAGTTGTTTCTGAGTCAGAGAAATATAATTGATCGTGAATTGGGCAATTTTTATCTATGGATTCTTTTAGTTTATAAAGTTCGTCTAAACTGTTGGTTTCTGATTCTGAAAATGCGTTTCGGTTTTTTGAAAATCTTTTTCGTGTTATTTGTCTTTGTTTAGTTATTATTTTTCTCTTTAGTGTTTGTCGTTTTGTTCGAATGTATCCAACTGTTTGTGTATGAGGTGTGATTACAAGGTCGTATTTTTTGTTATCTATTTCACAATTGTGTAAAACGATTGTTTGTTTATTTCCTAGGTTTTTAAATGACATAAGGTTTAGGATGACGGGTGCAAAAGGTTGTTAAATGATTTCTATTTGCTTAAACTGTTAGTCCTTACGATTTTTTGGTTAGCTTAACCTGGGTCTATTTGTTCAGGGTTGGAGAGAAAAGTATATCTATTCCGAAGAATGATTTTTTACTTTCTCGTGACTAGTATAAGCTAAGGTGTTAACTTACTTAATCTTACTTAGGGGTAGTGATTGTGTTCAAGGGTTGGAGAATAGTAAATCGATCCACAAGGTTCAGGTATAATTAGAACGCGAGTAGTTCGTTAGATACTATTTTAAACGTACTAAGTCTAAGATTTATCCTGGGTCTGGTAAGAGGGGGGATCAAGTGAAGGATGAATAACCGAAGTTCTTCACTGTTTATCCTAATTTGAATGATTAGTTTTGTTTTGAAAATTTCTATTAGTCCTGGGTTTTTAGAAAGGGTTGGATAGTGAATCGACGTTTGAGGTCGTTAGACACTAGTTAAGTGGGTGGGGGAGAACAAAGTTGTTCTTTTTGATCCAAGGATAGGCCTTGATGATCAAGTTTTAAATTTAATTAAGTAGAAAATGATTTAAGATCCAAGGATAAGCCTTGATGATCTGATTTTAAATTTAAGTGAATTTAAGTTTTAAAATGATTTAAATTTGTGTAAGGAAAAGATTTAGTGTTTTTATGATATTAGTGAGCTTATGAATGCTGTTATGTTTAGGTGATGAAGCTGGAACAACAGGATGATTTATGATTACTAACCATTTATTGTCATGCTACTAATTTTTATTTTGATTTTTCAATAAATATTTTTCAAACATGTTTTGTATATTACTGCAGAATTTAGGGAAACGATCTGAGATCTTTTTATCAATCGTTATTGTATATTAATAATTTTGTTTAGCGCCTGTAATGATTTTGAAGATTGACTTCAAAATTTTAGGTTTGCAAATGAAAATCTAAATTCATTGCTAGAAGTATTCTAAATACAAAAGTTTGTTCTGGCTTTTGCCGAACTATCATATAACTATATGGTAAGTTTCTACTTTGTCGTATGTCGTCTCTGGTTCGAGGTCTTCTTCCAATTCCGGGTAGTTCTGTTATGGTTCGGAATATTGGCTCTGATCTATTGAGTCGTAGAGACATTTCGATTAAATTATCGTCGTATAACATTTTGTAAATGTTTTGTCTAATTTCTAATCTATTTTTGGTTAATTCTAAGCTATTAAGGTCTTGTTTGAGACTTATGGTCGCACCAGATGAGTTAGGACCGAAGTGTATAACTCATAGAGTAATTTCGGATAGGGTACACCGTCTGCTCGTCACGCTTATTTTCGGCCGGATAGATTCGTGCAACTTCTTAGTCTAATACCGATCCTAATCTTACTCTTATACTATCTAGTCTCAGGTTGTTTAACTAGTCTCTGCTAGGCTCAATAGATCTAGGGTATACTGGTTTATTGCGGCTGCTGAAGTACTCGGGAGAGTCCAACTAATTTCTAAGTTAAATTCAAATCTCTCTGGTGCTGAAATTACAAGTAATTTCAGCACTTACAAATAAGTGGATTGTTAGTTAGATGGATCATGATTGGTTAATATTAAACACTTTACATTGGTAAAATATCTAATTTATCCAATCATAAAATGTAGTTTAGATCAGGTTCCAAAAGGATTTCTTCAAATATATCTTCAAATAAATAATGAAAAAAGATTTCTTTAGAGCAAAAAGAGCGAGCGAGCAGAAACTCGATGACATTCGGACTGTGGAATGGCAAATCTAATGGTCTGTTGCCGTAGTCACAAACCTCCCAGGATTTAAAGTATGGAACCAACATCGCAGCAAAGGTACTCATTGAACAAGAACAATGGCCAACTCGATGTTGAAATCAATACAAATCATATTCTCTTGGCGCTTCAGACAGAGAAAACAAACCCTATCTCACTATTCTATGAATCGTTGAGTGGAGCATGCATGTAGTCTCGCTCTAATTAACGAAATCGACACGTCGTTGTTTAAAACTCTGCAAACTTGTCACAATCCCTCACTCAATTACGATACAATAAACCCAATTCTACGAGCAGCTGTACTCCTTCTCTTTCAACGAAGACAACTACTCCACCACAAGCAACTGCCTCTATCTATTCCTTCATGCAACCACTGCTTCAAATTAATCTACTCCAAAGAATCAAGAAACCTCTCCAACCATCCTTCACAAGAACAAAATAAAACTTAAAACGCTCTAAACCGCGGATGGGTGGAACCAGTTCAAAATATGTATTTATTTGATCCTATTTTATTCCTGATGAGCTATCTCTGTAAAACACTTAGAACTAACTAATCTTGATCCATAAGTAACACTTACAATAAATTGTAAGACTGAAACTATTTATTGTTTCATCCAGAACAGAATAAAATTAACTTAGCAAACAGTTGCTCTTTCTCAGAATAAATCTTGATATCTAGCCTCGCAAACAACCGTAAACACTAGATCTATTGAGACTAGGAGGTATAAGAGCAAGATTAAGATCGGTATGAGACTAAGAAGTTGCACGAATCTATCCGGCCGAAAATAAGATAACAGACAATGGTTATTTGTCCGAGACAACATCTAGTAAATAAAAGATATAAACTAAAAAGTTACCACACATATAAACGTATATGTAAAGGAAATCGGCAAACAAAATGCCGATTCCACTTACAATTTGCGGATTCCATTTACAATTTGCGGATTCGGCTTACATTTCGCGGATTCCACTTACAGTTGCGGATTCCACAACAGCTCATAGTAATGATTCAAATGTCCTAACATTTGTTTGTGGATTCCACAAACTGTTCTGGATTCAACAAATAACGTTGCAGATTCGGCAAATTCGCCCATTTTGGAGCGATTTTGAGCGGTACAAGGTTTTACAAGATCAAAGAAAAGTAACAATGTTGCGGATTCCTCAAAAAATCTGATTTTTGCCTGTTGCTGAATCCGTTTACAATGCAGAGAATGCACAGTTTGGCCTCGTAATGTTTCTGACAGACAAAAAAATTCTTTTCAAATCTTAAAAATAATTTTTATTAATTTTTTTCAATCTTTTCTAAATTTCGTGACTTCAATCTTTGTGATCAGAACATTCATAGCTATTTGTCCATTAACCGCTGTCTGTTAACCATTGTCTGATATTTTTTACAGCGTGCACAAAGATGTGATTTCAAGACAATGCATAATGAGAGCACCAGCCAATTTATCAATTGAGAAAACAGCCTTAGAAATCAAACCGTTTTCGCAGTGAAAACCATTCCTGACTTTCAATAAACAGTTCAAGAATTTAAAAACTGGTCTTTTGAGTCTGCTCTTTGCAATTAGAGTTCATTATAAGGCGCATTTTGTGATGGTTGTCTCGTTGGTCATCGGCGTGATTTGTTTTCAACTGTTCCTCAAATAATGAATATCCGGGAGGCTGCTCGCTTACAATTAGTTGTGGTTTGTCATCCATTTGCGGCTGTTGAGTCTTCTTGCCTTGGAAACTCAGAGAGAGGATAAAGAGATCAGCCAAGAGAGCGAAAGAGAGAAACCAGGATAACCAAGTGAGGCCAGACCCCCAACCTACTTGTTGTCTTTCGACTCTCTTGAAGTCGGTTGTCATGCAAACGCTCGTCAGAAGAATGAATGTCTCTGAAAAAAAAGTTATCAAATTTAAAATCAGTTAAAGAAAGTCGCCTACTTTTGTCCAAATTATTCCTAAAAATTATTAAGTAGCGCAAATTTTTTTTTGTAAATTGATCCCGAGCAAACTGTTAACATATTTGCAGGGGAATTTGCAACATTGCTATTTCTTTTTGATCTACTGTGCTGTTTTGGATTCCACGAACAAATAGCTTGAACACTGTATTGTTTAAAAGGGTGGCGTCTCTCATGCTTGAAGGACCGAATGCTTGAAATTAATTTTAGCTTACTTTCAGCCAATCAGAGTTGAGTATTCAAAATCTAAAAATAAATCGCAAAAATGTCAAAGTAAGAAAATAAATCCAGGCCATTAGTGTTAATAATGACCGATTAGATAATAAGCAGATGAGTTTCAAGACTGAAAAACTCCTATGATTTTGAACTCTTTAATCTTGATGACTATCTGAAAAGTAATGCGGTTGTAACCCGCAATCTGTAATATTTTTAATTATTTTCCACTGATTTAATATATTTTCTGTTAATATTGACTTCGATATTGTGAGAGAGGCATTTAGCCAATAGAAGCGCTTAGCGATTTTGATTGTTTGAATCTTTTCAAGCATTCGGTCCTTCAAGCATGAGAACCCTCCCCCTTTAAAAGTGCTCCAAAAATAGCTATTTCGCTGAATCCGGAACATAATTTGCGGAAGCTGGAACAGTTTATAGAATCCACAGTTTTGTATTAATTTCATTATATGTTAAAATTTTGCGGAATCTACTTACATTTGCGGAATCAGTTTTCAGTTCGCAAAATCCGCTTACATTTTGCGGAACGCAGAACAACTAAATTTATTCGCTATTTACGGGAGCCCTGACCAAACTATTGTTCTGACAAAGTTTACAATTTTTTATGTGCGGAATCCACGGAAAATTTGAAACATGTTTCAAATTTGTCTCTTGATTTCAGTGACGAACAAACATTACTATGTACGACTCGTAATAATATTTTTTTGAACTCGAACGACTTAAAAACTGCTGAAAATACTATTTAAACTTTTGATAATAACTTTTGGATTCCGCTCAAAAATATTTAGTTCTAAGCCATCGCGTGTTTTTTGGTCGGGAATTGAGAAGAATTTTAACTTTTGGAGCAAAAAAGTTGTTTTTTTAGCACAGTTTCAGTTTTTGAACCAAATGAATGCGCTTTTTATGCGCACTTTCCGCTGAAAAAAATTTGAGTGGAAACAATTGAACGTCTAGCAGCTTGTCATGATTCTTTGAGTACAAAAACTGTTCTTATATTTTAACAGAAGGAAATTTTCATGATGAGAAATTACAAATTTTGCAGGACAGAGGTGAACCCCATTATATCATTCAAAATTCTCTACTGATCAAAGGAAAACCACTGAATCAACTAAGTTTGTCCTAGTCTGCGCCAAAAAACAAGTAAAGATGTGTTTTTGTTCCTGCTCAAACATTTTAGTAGTTCCTGATATCTTTTGTTGCAATTGATCTTAGGATATTTAAGGAGCTTTTCTCTAATTTTGAATCAAATCAAGCATTTTTCGTTAACTTTTTGTCCTTCTTGTTTGCTGAATGAAATTTGACACAATGGGGTGAGCATAACTCATTCCTAGTAGAAAACTCTGTGCAATCCTTTGATCCAATGGTTGGTTTTTTAATTTCAATTTTCGCATTGTTGAATTTACTCAACAAATCGGGTTTGAAATCTGGATCTTTTTGTAGAATTCTTCGTAGATACTCCTCCAAACCATGTTTTTATCGAAAAACTTGAGATATGATCGGAGCTACTCGAGCACAAAGGTTTGAGCGTATAATGATTCTAGTAACAGCTTCAAGACTTTTTCAAGAATGAGAGCCAGCGCGATAAACGGTTTCTTTTTCTTTCTCAAGACGTATCTTTCCTGTTTTTAAACGTCAGTCCTATTTCTATTGTTTTGTGCCAATTTTCCTGAGCAAAATGAAAGCAGCACTTTTTTTAGACGCTGTGGTAAATCCGACTTGAAAGCAGAAACAATGTATTTTTAGTCAATTATATAATTTCTTTTGGCTCTGGGTTAAGTTTACGTTGAACTTTGATTTTTGTTGTAACCGAATGTGTTTAGTTAGGAGGGAGCAATTATTTAAAACATCATGTAAAGTGTATGCTTGATAGAATAAAGATGAGAAACTTTTAAATGTGCCATCATTGTGCCAAAATGTGTAACGCCCGAGATTTTTCAAGTTTGCCTCACTGGTGAACACAGGCAGTCTATTGGAAAAACCCGGCTAATTTATTGGTTTTTCGACCATTTTCCAGTTTCCCCCCTTTCAAATTTAATTTTGAAAAGCTTATTTAACGTTGCCATAATAAAATGAAATTTGGCGTGGTGAACAAATCGACAACTGTGAACGGATTTGTTGTTCATACTTTACAGCGTAACATCACGCATTTAGCCGTAATAACAGGTAAATCAAATATAAAACTCGGTATTTTGAAAGGGGGGAACTGGAAAAGAGCCAATTGTTTGAATTTCTACTTACGAATTTTCCCCCACAATTTTTTTTCTACGTTCCAGTTTTAATGGTTAGGTTTTTTACCATGTTTTTAAAGAAATTTTTTGATTTTTCGACAAGTGTAGAAAGAATACTTTTCATTTTTTGGGCTTAGTACTGAGTATAAATGATCCAATTTTTTCTCCGCAAATAAGCTATGATATGGGAATACTTGTGATTAGCAAGATTTTTTTGGATCATCTCCCAGTAGTTAAACCGCTTTTTTCAATAAATTGAACTTCAACTAATTTTTCATCTTCAAAGATCCAGATTTGCTTTTCCGCTGATTTTTAGTGAGTTGCAACATTTTCTGAATGCGTAGAAGCATATTTAGAAATCAAAATGATAATTTAACAATTTAAGCAAGCAATGTTTTGGGCGCAATCATTAGTGATAAACGAAGAAGAAAATGTCCCATGTCTTTCCACAATTGTTGTTTCAATTTAGTATAAGATCAATTGATGTTTAATGGGGGAAACTGGTCTTGACTTAGGGGTAATTAGATGATTTTCTCACAAATTATAGCGTTTTTTTTAATTGTGGTTATTGCTATTTTCTACGAGTTGTCTGTTCTTGCGATTTGTCCTGTTTCAGCAGCTCTCATGACAGCAAGTAGTTACAATCGAGTTTTAATTTAAAATAGGGTACCTAAATTGGTTGCTTTTGAGGATTGAGTAATTCTTTTAAACCGTGGAAAGACTCAGTGATTTGAGAGAAGCCAAATGCGAAACAAAAATGTGAAACAAAAAATGTGAAACAAAAATGTGAAACAAGCTTTCAAAGATTATCCATCCCGGTTTTTGATTGGCTGAAAATTCTAACTGAGAATGGAGTTAATATCCTCCCTCTGACAGATTTTGATGTGAGGATGTTTTCTGGTCCCAGTTTTAGGTTCAATGCTTCAGTTTTTTGGCTATTCTAAACAATTTTTGTTCGAATTCTGATATACAGCTTTAATAAATAAAGCATCGCACAAAAAAAAACTTAAACAACAAAGACTGCTTGTAGCAGAGAAAAGTTCTGAATTTTTACTTTGCAAATTTATGTTATAGTTTGCATTCAAGAATGGGTCGATTCGATCACTTAATCTGTCTCAAGCAATTCTGTTCGAAAATTTTGAGCGAAATACCAAGGAAAATTAACACACAACATTTTCAAATTTTTTGGAGATTTTTGTTGACTCAAATCTGCTCTTAACAAGGCAATAACCCAAGTCTTCGACAGGCCTAATTCATGTTTTTTCTGTCCTAAAAGTTCGACAGGCCTAAAAATTTTAGTGTAATGGAAAGTTCAGACATTGAAAATTCATAGTTTTCTTAGGCCAGAGGAATATCGTTTGCCGAAATTTAAATGAGTTTAAAATAGTCAAATTAGAAACCAATAACTATTTTGAAAGTGATCAAAGTATCTAAGTCAGCAACAAGAATTTTGTTTGTTTCTAGATGGAATAGTGCACAAAAGTTTACTGGTTTTCTCTCGCAGCCTACAAAGTTGGAATTAAACATATTGAGTTATAGATAATTTGCAGCATTTTGTAAGAATCTCGGAAGATTCTTGAAAGATGCTTTCCCTCTATCATTATTTCTACAAGATAATCTCCGACTTGCAAGAACATACAAGATTATACCTCCGCCTCGTAAGATCTTGCAAGATAACTCTTTTTTGCAAGAATTTTGCAACATCTTAGAAGACAGCCCCACCTTGATCGACTAGACGGATTAGATCACTACGCTTCGACAATTTGCTCTAACCGGTTAGGCGTGATTGTTAAAGCGATAAAAAAGATGGGCTCAAAAATTCAAAGAAAAAGTTTTGTAGTCCATCAGAATTGGGAAACAAAAAATTGGAGTTTCTAATATGACACAACAACTCACGGTGCAGAAAAGCGCACAAAAGTGCTGCAATGATGAGAGCTCCTTTGTCATCTTTGACCGGCAACAGGATCATTATCAGAAGTATTCCCAGTGGGATACAAGACACATGATCTGCGATTATGCACACTCTTGCAGCTTTGATTGTGCTGGGGATATCTAAAAAGTACAAAATTATAGAAAAAATATTAGCTAAAAAATGAAAAACTGGAACCTAATCCAAACTACATTTTATTATTTATTACTTAGACATTTAATCACTGTAAATTTTTTAATATTAACCAATCACAATCCATCTAACTAACTACCCACTTATTTGTAAGTGCTGAAATTACTTGTAATTTCAGCACCAGAGAGATTTGAATTTAACTTAGAAAATAGTTGACTCTCCCCAGTACTTCAGCAGCCGCAACAATACCAGTATACTCTAGATCTATTGAGCCTAGCAGAGACTAGTTAAACACCCTGAGACTAGTAGTAATAAGAGTAAGATTAGGATCGGTATTAGACTTAGAAGTTGCACGAATCTATCCGGCCGAAAATAAGATAGCGTGACGAGCAGACAGTGTACCCTATCCGAAATTACTCTATGAGCTAGACCTCCATACCTAACTCATCTGGTGCGACCATAAGTCTCGAACAAGACCTTAAAAAACAAATTAGCTTAGAAAAAATAGATTAGAAAATAGACAAAAACATTTTCAAAATGTTATACGACAATAATTTAATTGAATGGTCTCTACGACTCAATAAATCAAAACCACTCTTCCGAACAATACTAGAACAACGACGTATTGGAAACAGACCTCGGACAAGAGACGACATACGACTATGAAGAAACTTACCGAATAGTTTCATGATCGTACGGCAAAAGCCACAACAAACTTTTATATTTAGAATTATACCGGCAATGAATTTAGATTTCCATTCGCAAACATAAAGTTCTTGAAGAAAAATCTTCAATGCATTTACCAGGCGCTAAATAAATTATTAATGTTCAATAACGATTGATAAAAACATCACTAATTGTTTCTTCAACTGCAGTACTATATAAAACATATTTTAAAATAATTTATTCAAAATAAAAACAAAAATTAGTAGCATGACAATAAATCGTTAGTAAGCATTAATTATCCTGTTGTCCCAGCTTCATCACCTAATCATAACAGCCATCATAAATAAACTAACTTCATCAAAACTAAAAGTCACAAATTGTTATTTCAAAATTTTAAACTTTATACTTTCTAAATCTAAAAACTTCTTAATCTTAAACCAGATCATCAAGGCTTATTCTTGGATCTAATTTAATTTTCTATCCTAAATTTTAATTCTGATCATCAAGGCTTATCCTTGGATCAAAAGAACAATTTTGTTCTCCCACACCCACCTATCAAGTGTCTAACGACCTCAAACGTCGATTCACTCTCCAACCTTCTCAAAAGACCTAGGACTAATAGAAATTTTTCAAGCACTAACCATTTAAATTAGGCTAAACAGTGAAGAACTTCGGTTATTCATCCTTCACTTGACCCCTCCTCTTATACGACCCAGGATAATCTTAGACTTAGTAAGTTTAAAATAGTACCTAACGAACTACTTGCGTTCTAATTATACCTGAACCTTGTGGATCGATTTACTATTCTCCAACCCTTGAACACAATCACTACCCCTAAGTAAGATTAAGTAAGTTAACACCTTAGCTTATATTAGCCACGAGAAAGTAAAAATCATTCTCCGGAATCGATATACTTTTCTCTCCAACCCTGAATAAAAAAACCCAGGCTAAGCTAACCAAAAAATCGTAAGGACTAACAGTCTTTAAAACCACTTACAAACAACCTTGCACCCATCATCCTAAACCTTATGTCATTAAAAAATCTAGCAAATAAACAAACAATCGTCATACACAATTGTCAAATTGAAAATCAAAAATACGATCTTGTTATAACCCCGCATACACAAAAAAATGAATACATTCACACAAAACGGCAATCACTAAAAAGAACAATTCAAAGAAAACAAAGACAGATAACACGAAAAAGATTTTCAAAACACCGAAACGCATTTTTCGACTCAGAAGTCAGTAGTCTTGACGCACTATACAAAGTAGAAGATTCAATAAATCAGTCTTATCCAATTCAGGATTCAGTATATTTTTCCGACTCAGAAACAAATACAGTTTCATCGAAAAAAGGAAAAAAAAGAATAAAAAAGAAACACAAGCATAAACCAGTACATCTATACAATTGGAGTCAACCAATCAGACACATTAACAATTATCTATTAACAGTCATCAAACGTAACAATGAGCAGCCATACTCAAAGTGAAAAAAGCATAGATCACGAACAAGCATTTCCTTTTGTTATAGACTCAGATACTGATAAAGGACAAATAAAATCTGTAAAAATTTACTCATAAATCTATTTGAACCAGGAATCAGTCCATGTAAAACAGAATTTCCAGATGTAAGAATAAGAAGACAACTAATAGATCACTATATAAAAGATATCGCAAAAATAACACAACAATACGGTATCTACACTATAGGAATCTGGACACCAGAAAACAAGAAATATTTTGTTCAAACAGATGATCTTGATCTCGAATTTTCAAAAGTATTCACAGAATATATTAAAAATATACAATACCATAACTCACAGAGAGCAAACTCAATATTCACAAATGAAGTTTTTGCCTTAATATACACAAATCTAAATATATTAGAAACAACAGAAACCCAAAGTACATCACCAATTCAGACATCTAGACACACCAAGGTTAGAAACAAAATCACTGCATTTTCTACATTTTTATACGCAATCTGTGAAAATTTTTCAAATAATGACGTTTCACAAAATTCCAAACACGACTTACAAAAAATATTAGCATGGTTTATAATTGATTATTTCGGACATAATATAGATTTAATACACGAAGCAAGAAAAAATTTTAGACTTCAAAGTAACACTGACGACACAGTCATTCATGAACAATCAGATTATGTTTGGGACCCCGATTGGTCTCATCCATTATTTATACACTTCCCAAATGCTATTTCAAGTCAAGCGATAGATACAATATCTTTTCACTGAAATTATATAAATATTATACCATTAACAATTGACGCCACACCTTTAAATTATAATACATTTTTGCCTGATACACAAACTAATAGTTTAAACTCAACGGTTATTCATAATGAAGACCTCAAGGGAACTCGAAATCTTACACAACAAGATATTCAAACACCATCACAGTTCATAAATGAAGAAATTGTTCACACGACAATAACAACTACGCAACAAAGTATTTCACCAATACATCCAAATTTCACAACACCAAAAAATAATAAAGTGACATCACCACAAAGAACATTACAATCAACTGTAAAACCTTCAGCCATTTTAGCCCCTAAATTTTCACATATGGATTACCAAACATATAGACCAATGACAAGACCACCAAAACCAAGAAGGACATTCACAAGAAATAATTTTGCAGAACACAATTATAATTACACACATCCACCATGAACAAACTACTCGCCACGAAAACCTAATAATAATCATGTATATTCCCACAATTGAGATAGACCAACGACAACCAACAATTCAGTAAATTTTCAACCTAATCAGCATCCTACACAAGATTATAGTGAAAATTACCCATTTTTTCAATAAAATAAAAATCGACAACAGAAATCTCACCATACGGATTATGTATCATCCGATGATGATCATTTACCAGATATTTTTGAAACATACATACAAGAGTATCGAACACGAAAACCACAACATACTCAATATAAAAGAATTTTTCCTGAAAACCCGCTAGATACTCAGCATCAACAACCACAAATGCCAAACTCATACAATACACAATTTTTTCAACCAATGCAAACACAAAATCCAATGACTATGCATTCATATCCACCAAATCAAATGCAAAATGAAATCCCATTACCATATTATCTACAACAACATGAAATCACAAAAAATCAATTGACAAATTTTTCACAAATACCAATTCACAAATGACGATGAACCCATATCTCATGGGAGGATCATCAATAACATCAAATAAACCACTCATGGTATTTACAGGAACAGACCCTAAATACTCAGTAGAAGACTACTTAAACGCAGTAACAGCAAATCTGATTTTAAATATAGGACCTGAACCAATAAATACACCACTCCATCACAATTGGATACATCGCCGCACAGCGTTGATACAAACAACACTAGATGGCGCAGCACAAAAATGGTTTTCAGTACAACCTATAGACATAAAATCAGATTGGAAAAGATTCACACAGGAATTCTCAAAAATGTTTGATTCTGAAAGAAACAAACAACATCAAAGAGTTTTATGTAATGAAATTCGAAGATTACCAAATGAAACGATAAAACAACTAGCAGTCAGAATCGAAACACTAGTTCGAAAAGCATATTCGCTTAATACACACAATTATAAAAACACAAAAATGACAGAAATCTTAATGATGACCTTAACACCACAATTAAGAAAAATTGCAATAAAAAAAAGAGCATCTCATCCTTCCTCAATTCGAGAACCGGATCTAGATTTCAGAAAACTAGTCGATAAATTAGAACAAGCAGAGATCACAATGAAACTCGAAGAAACAGAAAACTTGAAATTACAATATGTTAATCACATTGAAACAAAAACTACACACATTAACAATATACAAGAACCAGATGTAGACCTATCTGAAAAAATCACCGAAATTTTAAACATCTATGAAAAGAACCCAAACTGGAAAGGCAAACCATCTTTTAAGAAATGGTGTTATTACTGTCGACGATACGGACACAGTATCTCTGAATGTAGACAAAAACAGCAAGACAACCAAAATAAACCTCAAAAACACAAAGAACCAAACAAATCAGTTTATCAATACATGAAAAAAGATCAAAACCTACCAAACAAAAATGTATACAGTAACAATAGTTCTGGAAAACCACTTTCAAGCAACCAAAACTATTCTCGAAATCAATCACCGTATAACTCAAGTTATAGAGGTAGATCACCTGAACGAAGTAATTCACGAAACTTCTCACAAAATAGATATAGTCGATCAAATAGTAGAAACAATTATCCACGATCAAATTCAAACTCAACACAATTTTCTTCA